GATGACTTTGTAAAAGAAGAATGATTGTTCTCAGTTCAGGGAATATAATTGATTTTTACTGTTTCAACTAGGTTTACTACAATGGCATGCAGTCCAAGCATGACAGTTTATAATGAGCGAGTTGCTTTTGCTGATTGCACCTCGCCCACGACCGGCACGGCTACACTTTCGCCTAGCGATGTCGACGCCATTGTGGGTGCTTTCAATAGTCTCCTCAAGCCCCACGGCTTTCAGGTGCATCCGTTCCTCGTCGGCTGGTACAACGAATTCTGCTCACCACGTCTGCAGCTTTCCGGCTGCCCTCCAGACCAGTTAGCTCTCTGCATCATCAGCACGCCAGACATGTTTGAGCGCAACTTTTTGCCCCATGTTTTCGAGTGTCTCTCTTCTGCGCCAAATCTGACAGCTGCCTACGAGCAGTTTGATTGGCCCAAACAGTTCTCGCCCCTGGATCCCCTCGACCGTTCTGTCTATCTGCGTATCAGACATGCAACGCGCACCTTTTCCGACCACCTCCCCCTCGATGAACATCACCACTTCGAGGGTGTAATAGAACAAATTAAAAGGTGTCATTGGCTGCCAGACTATGCCCTTAGACCCGTAACAAGGATGCCACTGGTGTATGTCAATGCTGCGGGTCACGCTTCTGGTGTTGCCTACTTCCACAGCCCAAGTGAGGCTGGGGAAGTCGGAGTCAGAGAAAGTAGCGAGGTCGCTGCTCTCGGAGTAAGTACACCTCATCGGCTTGTTGGCTGTTCGCTACATCCGTACCACGGTGGCTGGTTCGGCTTCCGGTGAGTCTACCTGTTCAATCTATCTTATGGTTTTCCTTGACTAAAACAGTGCGTCTGTTATTTAGTAAACATGCTAGCCGACCGGTGTCCGTGTTCTGTGTTAGAAACGGGAATGGGAATCTTCCATGGTGCTTTAAATTGCAGGGAGATAAGTACTAGAGTCAAGGTTAGTGTTAGGATTAACGATTTGCGCTAAGGTTAAGGTTAGCGGTAGAGTTTAGGTTAGTTTAAGGCTAGTGTTTCTTTTGGGGTGTAGAACCTGAGTATTCTTGGTCCCGTGTCTTACCTCTCCACGGCTTTTTATAAATGCTGTAATAAAACTGCTCAATTTGTCAGTTCCCCCTACATTCTGACTGCAACTTTCTTAAGGTCTGTCCTTAGGAGGCTCGAGCGTACTTACTATTTTAAGCTTATTATTACTTTTAATGCT